TTTTCAACACTTTAAAGAGGTGTTTTGCAGCAGATTTGCCCAATGCAATGCGTCTTGATCTCTTGACTGCTACTTCCATGGGTGTTGATTGTGGATCCAAGTAAAATGAAATTCTTGACAACTTCAATCTTTTCTCTGTTTATCATGATGTTGCTTATTGGTCCAGTTGTGAGGATTTTTGTTTGTGTTGAAGTGTAATCCATACTGAAGGCTGTGGTCTTTGATCTTCATCAGGAAGTGCTTCAAGTCCTATTCACTTTCAGCAAGCAAGGCTGTGTCATCTGTACAAGGCAGGTTGTTAATGAGTCTTCCTTCAATCCTGATGCCTCGTTCTTCTTCACATAGATCAGCTTCTCAGATTATTTGCTCAGCATATGGATTGAACAGATATGTTGAAAGAATACAACCCTGACGCACACCTTTCCTGAGTTTAAACCATGAAGTATCCCCTTGTTCTGTTTGAACTACTGCCTCTTGATCTATGTACAGGTTCCTCATGAGCACAATTAAGTGTCCTGGAATTCCCATTCTTCAAAATGATATCCATAATTTGTTATGATTCACACAGTTGAATGCCTTTGCATAGTCAATAAAACACAGGTAAACATCTTTCTGGTATTCTCTGCTTTCAGGCAGGATCCATCTGACATCAGCAATGATATCCCTTGTTCCATGTTCTCTTCTAAATCTGGCTTGAATTTCTGGCAGTTCTCTGTCAACGTACTGCTGCAACCGCTTTTGAATGAGCTTCAGCAAAATTTTACTTGTGTGTGTTATTAATGATATTGTTTGATAATTTCCGCATTGGGTTGCATCACCTTTTTTGGGAGTTGGCATAAATATGGATCTCTTCCAGTTGGTTGGCCAGGTAGCTGTCTTCCAAATTTCTTGGCATAGATGAGTGAGTATCGCCAGTGCTGCATCCATCTGTTGAAACATCTCAATTGGTATTCCGTCAATTCCTGGAGTCTTGTTTTTTTGCCAAAGACTTCAGTACAGTTTGGACTTCTTCCTTCAATACCATCAGTTCTGGACCATTTGCTACCTCCTGAAATGGTTGAATGTTGACCAATTCTTTTTGGTATAGCGACTCTGTGTATTCCTTCCATCTTCTTTTGATGCCTCCTGCATCGTTTAATATTTTCCCTGTAGAATCCTTCAGTATTGCAGCTTGAGGCTTGAATTTTTATTTCAGTTCTTTCAGTCTGAGAAATGCTGAGCATGTTCTTCCCTTTTGGTTTTCTATCTCTTTGCACATGTCCTTGTAATACCTTACTTTGTCTTCTTGAGCAGCCCTTTGAAATCTTCCGTTCAGCTTTTTCACTTCATCATTTCTTCCTTTTGCTTTAGCTACCTGATGTTCAAAAGCAAGTTTCAGAGTCTTTTCTGACATCCATTTTGGTCTTTTATTTCTTTTCTGTATTTGTAATGATCTCTTACTTTCTTCATGTATGATGTCTTTGATGCCATTCCACAACTCGTCCGGTCTTTGGTCATTAGTGTTCAATGTGTCAAATCTATTCTTTTTTTTATTTTTATTTTTTTTATTGTGCTTTAGGTGAAAGCTTACAGCTCAAGCCAATTTCTCATACAGAAGTTTACACAGATATCGTTATGTGACACTAGTTGTAATCCCTATAATGTGACAACACATTCCTCCTTTCCACCCTGGGTACCCGTGTCCATCTAACGAGCTCCTGTCCCTTTCTGCATTCTCATCCCACCTATGGACACAAGCCGCCCATTCAGTCTCGTGTATGTGCTAGAACTAAGTAGCACACTCTTCACAATTATTATTTTATGTTTTATCATCCAGTCTAATCTTTGTCTGAAGAATTGGCTTTGGGAATGGTTTTAGTTCTGGGTTAACAGAGAGTTCGGGAGCCATGTCTTCGAGAGTTCCTCTAGTCTCAGTCAGACCATTAAGTCTGGTCTTTGTACGTGACTTTGTTGTCTGCATCACACTTTTCTACTGCTCCGTCAGGGACTCTCTGTTGTGTTCCTGTCAGGGCGGTCATTGGTGGTAGCCGGGTACCGTCTAGTTCTTCTGGTCTCAGGCTGATGGAGTCTCTGGTTTAGGTGGCCCTTTTGTCCCTTGGGCTAATATTTTCCTTGTGTCTTTTGTGTCTTTCTTTCTCCTTTGCTCCAGGAGGTTTGGGACCAATTGATGCATTTTAGATGGCTGCTTGCTAGATTTTAAGACCCCAGACGCCACTCACCAAAGTGGGATGTAGAACATTTTCTTAATAAACTTTGCTAAGCCAGTTGACCTCGATGTCCCACAAAACATGGTCCCCAGACCCCAGCCCCTGCTACTCTGTCCCTCGAAGTGTTTGGTTGTATTCAGGAAACTTAGCTTTTGGTTTAGTCCAGTTGTGCTGAATTTCCCTGTATTGTGTGTTGTCCTTCCCTTCACCGAAGATGATTCTTGTCTACTATCTAGTTAGTGAATTCCCCTCTCCCTCCTTCCCCACCCTCACAACCATCAAAGAATGTTTTCTTCTATGTTTAAACCTTTTCTTGAGTTCTTATAATAGTGGTCTCATACAATGTTTGTCCTTTTGTGACTGACTGATTTCAATCAGCATAATGCCTTCCAGATTCATCCATGTTGTGAGATGTTTTGTGGATTCATCATTTTTCTTTATTGCTGTGTAGTATTCTATTTTGTGTATATACCATAATTTGTTTACCCATTCGTCTGTTGATGGGCACCTAAAAAAACAAAAAACAAACTTGTCACCATTGAGTTGATTCCGACTCATAGCGACCCTATAGGTCAGAGTAGAACTGCCCCACAGAGTTTCCAAGGAGCGCCTGGTGGATTTGAACTGCCAACCTTTTAGTTAGCAGCTGTAGCTCATAACTACTATGCCACCAGCGCTTCTGATGGGTACCTAGTTTGTTTCCATGTTTTTGCTATTGTGAACAGTGCTGCAATGAACATGGGTGTGCATATATCTATTTGTGCTATGGCTCTTACTTCTCTAGGATATATTCCAAGGAATGGGATTTCTGGATCATATGGTACTTCTATTTCTAGCTTTTTAAGGCAGTGCCAAATCAATTTCCAAAGTGGTTGTACCATTTCACATTCCCACCAGCAGTGTACAAGCATTCCAGTCTCTCCACAACCTCTCCAACATTTATTATTTTGTGTTTTTTGGGTTAGTGCTAGACTTGTTGGGGTGAGATGGTATCTCACTGTAGTTTTTATTTGCATTTCTGTAGGTTGGTTCTCTTTTTACTATTTTGGTGAAGTCTTGATGAGCGTTTAAGTGTTTAATTTTTACTAGCCGCCGGTTATCTAGTTTATTTTCTGGTGTTTGTGCATTGTTAGTTATGGTTTGTATTCCATTGTTCTTTCTTGTCCTTTCAGACTGCAACTGTTGGAAGCATCTGTCCCAAGGTTTTTCTGCTACTGTTAACAGTCCTTATACTTCACATGCTTTAAGGCATCATACATCTTCAGCTGGATTTTCAAGTTCTTCACTCCAGTCTCAGATACTCTGACATTAGAACAGACCCAACTAATGAAAGATAATAATTAACCATGTACACAACAATGCACACACAGAAGGCTACACCTGATTTGATACTTTCCTTTTTCCTCCAACTATCAGCCAAAGTTCTGTGATCTAAGATAAATGTAGAATACACTGTAAACTAGAGTGATTTTACTGTTGTTGTTTCAGAATTAAACAACCAGAAGATTTGTCAATTGTGATTATAAGTTAAGCTCCTCATAGACACTGTAATTGGGGACTGAACAGTTGTTACTGTTTCTGATGAGGAAAGGCATGGTAATCACTTGGGGGTACTTCTTACAGAAAACAAGGCTCTAGGTTCTAGGAGGCAGTAGAAAGGAAAGTGAACTAGTGAAAGAAAAAAAAATTCCCTACATCAATTGTATTTTAGGCGACATTTCTATGTAATTTTAGTGTTAATGTCCTCGTTCCTTCTCTATATAACCTGCTTTTGATTTTTTCAAGACGTGTCCTTGAGATCCTCTATGGTAACACAGGAAAAAAAAGCTCCCTGTTTTTATCTTTCATGGTATGTGCTCATTTGATTTCATTTTCCTGATCAGAACTGTGAATCTTCTAAACCAAGGTTTACCTGGCTACTTTGCTGATGCTAAGCATTTTTCTAGAAAATGCCCCTACCAGCTTAATTTTGTCAAGCTATATTCAAGACCATGTCTCTTATGAAATTCTCATCAGTGGGACAGATTTTTTTGCCAATTTAAGTAAAGTTTGATTGAAAATTTTTTTAGAAATTAAGAAGAATTCTTTAAAATTGTTACCATCTATAAGCTCTATTAGAAACAGAAGTATCCTAAAATTTCTCTAAAACATATTTTAGATCAAAATCATTCCTAATACTCACGCCTCATTCCTCAGTTTAAGATACTAAAATGACGATTCTTTCTGTCGAAATTACAGCAAAAAGGAGGCATATACAACTCTGAAATTCCCAGATAATGATATATAAGTATATATTACTGCTGTTACTGCTATAATAAATATTATTAATAAAATGTTTAGATTAGTAGGCCATTATTAGTCCATTTTTAATTTGAAGTAGTAATAGTTAAAAATCTACTTCTAGAATGTCAAATATTAACTAATTCTATATTAGTCATTGTTGGTGTTGTTATTGGGTACCGTCAAATCAGTTCCTACTCACAGAAACCCCACGTGACAGAGTAGAACTGCCCCATGAGGTTTTCTTGGCTGTAATCTTTATGGAAGCAGATCACTAAGTCTTTCTCCCTCAGAGCAGCTAGGTGGGTCTGAACACTTAACCTTTTGATTAGCAGCCAAGCACTTAACTATTGTGCCACCAGTGCTCCTATATTAATCATAATATATATGTATATATATTATTTATATTAAATACATTTTATTTATATATGTATATATATCTTTAAATGTGATTAGCATGTTATAAAAACTGAAAGGTAAAAAATTGGTAAACAAATATACTTAAAGACTTACCTTGGGGTCCAGGGTCTCCTGGTGGCCCGGGCAACCCATCCTTTCCTGGTGGACCAGGTCTCCCATGACCTTGAGCAGCCAGCATTGCTGCTGGCAGCTTGAGCTGGGATAGGAACACAGCCATCCTCTCTTCATTCATGAAAGAAAAAATAATGTATCACGTAATGGAAATATTTTTTGCATCAACATTTTTCAGGGTCTCTTATTTTTAACATGAAATTTGATGAAAATACTATTTGCTTTTCATTTTAAACATGTCTAATTTACCCATTAGTCTGAATGCTGAGAGGCTTTCTTGATTGGTCAAATAAGACTGAATATACAAAATTGTTTGAATACAGATGTAGACTGGCTCTGTTGATCAGATGGTCTGAGAATTTCAGTGCTTCAGAGATACAGCCCTGTCTAGTAGACAGACTACTAGCCTGGAATCTAATTTAAGCTGTGGTAATGACTTGCAGAGAAAAATTTTAGTTATGCTATTATTTCGGATTCACATTTAAAAAATGGTTTTAATAACTAAAGGCATTTTCCAGCAATGTTGTGAATGATACATGATGATTTAAAATACGTTCACAAATTCTTTGACACTCCTTTCTAAAGGCAGAGCCTAACTTCCCTCTACCTGAGTGTGGGCTGGACTTACTTCTTACTTCTAATGAATAGAAAATAAAAGCAGAATTGACAGTGTGCAACTTGAGAAACTAGGTCATAAAAGGCACTGCAGCTTCCTGTTTGTTGTCTCTCTCGGATTGCTCACTCTGAGAAAAGCCAGCTGGCATGTCATGAGGACAATCGAGAAGTCCTTATGACAAGCCTGGAGAGAGGCTGACATGCTGAGGAACTGAGGCCACCTGCCAACAGCCATGTGAATGAACTTAGAAGTGGATCTTCCAGCCCCATTCAAGCTGTCAGATGACTGTAGCCCTGGCTCAAATCCTGACTGCAACCACATTAGAGATCCTGGGCCAGAACCACCCAACTAAGCCACACTTTGAGTCCCTGACCCACAGAAAATATGTGATAATAAATATTTTTTGTTTTAGATCACTGAAGTTTTGAGGTAATTTCTTATGCAGCAATTTCTTCTGACTCATACAGTATGTGACACTTGAGGTCCTTAAAGAAAACTGCATTATTAATAGAGAGATTTATTTATTGAAAAGATGGTCATTGCTTCCATATTCACTATGGTTTCACTATTTAAGCTATACTCTATACTAGGCAAATAATGTACTTTGTCAGCAACTAATTTTTACTTTTTAAACAAAACACCTAATCACACACCCTCAATATTATTTATTTATTTCTGGTTGAATTTTGAATTAGTAAGTTTCATTATTCAGTCAAGGTGTTGGTAGGAAGGATGTCTAATTTGGCCAAAGGAAAAAAGTTCAGCATTGGTGCAGCGGCAAGGGACAGACCAATGAGGAGCTGATAAATGCTGGTGCCAGTCATATGCATATTAAAAGATTATACTGAATTATGAACTAGGTGTTTTTTAAGCAAATATGAAATTCAATGATCACAGCTTGAAACTTTGCATGTTATTTGCTGTTTTGCACTTCAAAGAAGGTATATACTTAAGTATAATTGTTCTTAATTTGAGACCTATCTCTTTGAATATTAAACACAAATATTCACAGTACTAATTTTTCCTTTTTAATGTACAAATTGAATTTTCAAAGTACTTTGCTTTGCATAATTCTTAAATATTTTTAGCAAAACAGAAAAGTCTTTTCAATAATTACATCTAGCTGTAAATTATTTAGCTTTAAGACAGGTTGAGATATAGTCATTTAACATATGGGTAATTTCTTCTGAACCCTACCCAAATGCTCTGTAATTTAAAATAATATGTTTTCAAGCTTCTAAATGAATTGAAAGACCTGAATTCTTAATCGGTTTTCCTCTGTTTTCGGGGATCTTTGGTCAATTAAATTGTTTTTGGTTGAGCTTTCTAATGAGGCAGAAAATTAAAGAATTCAGATAGAAGCTTGCATAAACCAAATACACATATTCCATCTGCCAAGGCAAACCCACAGCAGTCGTTCTAACAAATTAGACCAATGGCATGGCTTCCTTGAAGAATGGGCTCATTAATAAAATACAAACATTAATATCAATGTGTTGATACAGTGTATCATATGAAGAAGGAAGGAACATTTAGATGTCATCTGGTCCATGTCTACCTTGATCTAAGAGGGACATTTGAGGATATACATTTTATAGATAGAATATGTAAACATTTTCTAAGAGAGAAATTCATTTTTTTTTTCTCCTAATGCCCGTTTAAATGCTTCATTGTCCATTTTCTTGGTACAACTTCAACTTATTTTCTTTTGCTACCCCATTATAGAAACAGAGAGTAGTTAATGAGTATTTACCATGGGAAATCGGTCATATATTTGATGATATTGTTAACTCTTAGCCTTCAGTTAAATAACTTTTAGTCATAGACTTGGTAATCTGTTTTGTGAATGACTTTTTGGTTTCACTTTTTCATATGTTTCTTAAATGTGGAAACCAAGATTAGATATAGCTCTCCCCTAAGGGGCAAAAATATCAGAAGAGTAACTGCCTGTCATACCCTAGTAATTATTTTCTACTTCCATTCTAACTGTTAACTCAGTAGCATCATATTCATTTTGTAGTTTTTCACGACCCAAAGGTTGTTGCTCCCACATGTCTATAGCTCTAACTTTGCCACCTTTGTAAGCATGTTGCTTGGCAATGGTATATGGGCAAAGATGGTGAATTGAACCTATGCATCCACTTTATCTCCCACTGAATCCCTGCCAAACAATAGTAAGGTATTTATAAAGACATACAACTCCAAGAATGGGGAGAATATGAGAAGAGGCAACAGCAACAAAATTTTGGAAGCTGAGAACCAGATGGCCAGTGATATATGACTTTGTGGATTCAAAAACAAAACCTTTTCACTAGAGGCTGAGAAACAACCTGATTTATACCACAAAATCCTCAAAAGGTTCAGGAATTAGGAGTATAAGTAAATTCTGGCAGTGAGGGTGAAGGAGAAGGAGGGGGACTAACATAAAGAGAACTGGTTGAAAGTCTGTTTAAGAAGTAGTCAAATCCTTAGATCTCTTTCTCTACTCTGTGTGGCTGGGCAGCTGCCCCTCCTCAGCCCTAGCAAAAGACTAAAAGCTTTATTACTAAAGACAGTAGATACAGGGTCTCTGCTTTGAGGACCCCAGATTCCCTTGAATCTGGGGCTTCGGTACTGTAAACGAGAATAAATGACCATTTACATGCTTACTGTTGAGGCCCCAGCCCTCTTCTTCCACTTGGTTCCCAAAATGCTGGCAGCTAGGCAGGAAATGGAAGTGTCTCCTGTGGGGAATCTGATCAGACTAAAAGGGAAGACTTAAAGATGCTGAAACTGAAGGTCCCTCAATTTAAAAGCGTAGCCAGACTCCCCTACAGTGAAGCTCACAGTTGGCAGGTTGCATTGTTCATTCATAACTTTCAGTTTTTTAGAATTCACTCTCATGTATAAGCAGACCACTAAGGATCATCAGACACCAGAGGAAATCCTATAAGCTGAACGACAGAGACCGAAACAAAGAAACAGAAAGAAGCAAATGGAAGAAACAGAGACTACGCTGCAGAAAATATTACTGAAAAAGATTATATATCAATGATGTGTATCTGTGCAAATATGTACACATAAATATATATTTATATATATAACATTAATATCTTAGTCTTTGAGAGGTAAGAGAAGATGTTACACCTTGAAACAAGAGAACAGGAATACAGAGAGAGAGAGAGAGAAAGAGAGAACATAGGAAAAGGGACTTTCCCGAAACACTGGAAATCTGGAGGCAGAAATGTTGTTCAGGGACCCACAGCCCTGACCTTCCTTTTCTCCAATAGTTGCAGGTGTGGCCTTGTTGGTCCCCAGTTTGGTGCAAGAACGCATTCCTGAATAGACTGCTAAGTTCTTCCTGAAGAGTGATATGAATTTCCAAGCATAATAGGGTGTTGTCATAACAAGAATTAAACTTATCAGCTCTTCTAGGACCCTAATTTGTGTGGGCAACATCACAGCTGCAAAACTCTCCTAAAGCCAAAAGAACCTAAGCTGGATACAGAGCATCTGCCTTGCCAATCAAACCAGAAATTTAATCAACCTTAGAGTGGGTGCACGCTTGTGCACTGTGATCCACCTGAAGCCAGATTTGGGGTTGGTGGAAAAACACCTTCCTCCACCACAGTTAGGTTTGGGAAAGGGTGTCAAGAAGCTGAAGGAGGGATTGCTGGCCTGTGGAAGAGCCCAAGATGTGAGATCCGTGGAAGAGTTGGATCAGTGAGGTCACCTGGGAATCCCAAAAGGGGGATGAGAAGCCCCAGGAGGAGAGCCCAAGTTTTGGATCTGGTCTAGGGTTTCAAATGGAGGCCCCCAGTATGGATACCAGGTATGATAAAGGAGGGGAGCAAGATCTCCAAGGATTCTCTCAAGCCCCCGCTGACAGCCCATGACTTGCTGAGCAGAGAGACTGGCTGTGAGGCTGTGCCTGTGGAGGTGAGTGGAGCAGTGATGAGCATGTGCTGTCACTGGCTCTGAGCAATAGCTAAGAAAAAGGAAGGCAGATGGGTGAGAGTTAAAGTCTTAGTGCTACTTAGCTGTAGCTCTTTTAACACGTGAAAATTGATCTTTGTTTTCACAGAGAAAGCTTTCTGAACAAGGGAACTGTGACCTTGGAGCTTTATGATTTGTGGAAACTGAGTTTTTCTTTCTGCAAATAGTTTTCAAAGTCAAGGAAAAGGGGACTTCTAAGTAGGAAATTAAATGTACTGAATTTGAAATGGTCTTGGGACAAATGAACTAAAGTGCTAAAAAACTAATTCCGGGCTTCAGGTACATTTTTGTCTGGGAGCTGACAGCTTTGCTGGACTGATGCCAACAGATAAAAGAGAAGTGATATCACATTCATAGGACCAGAGACTAGAAGTCTCAGTAAATGTTCTCTCGCTTTTGGATTCTGTTAGAATACTGTCTGAGGCTAAGATGTCTGTGGCTTCTGAGGAAGCACCAGCTTCCAGGGAGATCTGGCCACTCATCTGGACTAGTCAGGCTGGAGGAGACTGAGAGAGGCAGTCAGAAAGATGGGGGTGAAGGCAGAGGAGACCTGGAGAAAACTCTCTTCCCCTCAGCTTCCAGGCAGGCGGCTCTCTGAGAGAAGAGGGAGGGCAGGAACGCAGAGGGGAAGGACCTAGATAGAGGAGGAGATGCTCAGAAAGTGCAAGCCAGGAGGCCCTGCCTGAGGCAGATGGAGAACAGGCTAGTTCCCCTGACTTCCCTTCTCAGGAGGCTGACAGCCCTTCATGGAGTAACCACAGAACGGCCTGGGAGTGGACAACACAGAGCCTTCCCAGCTAGAAGTAGCAATGTCTCCTCTGCTTAATGTACAGGGCAGGCCACCAGGGACCCTCCCTTCATCCAGTGTCCACTTAACTTAAATGAAAACCCAGAAAACTAGTTGCCATAGAGTTGACTCTGACTCATGAAGACCCCATGTGTGTCAGAGTAGAACTGTGCTCCACATGGTTTTCAATGGCTGATTTTTTGGAAGTAGACCACCAGGCCTTTCTTCCAAGGTGCCTCTGGGTAGATTCAAACCTCCAATCTTTTGGTTACCATATTAACGGTTTATACCACCCAGGGGCTCCTTTCAAAATGAACATCTCTCATTTTGCAATACTAATATTTTTCTGATAATGCTTGGTTGTATTTTCTGACATTATTAACCAACTTTTTAAAAAGTGGACTAATTAAATTACTGAAGTATTAAATAGATGTGTTATCCAAAGCCCATTAAGAAATTAAAATTCAATGTTAAAGTTGCCTGAAATAAAAAATAAGGACACCAGAGCCTATGGAAATGATGAATTAAAGGAGAATTTTAGATCACAATTCAAACCACGAGTGTTTGCTGGCATTCCCCTTTTCATGACTGTGTTCCACTGAAGGTGTGGATGCTCTCTGAGATCCTAGGTGCTCTGTGCCCAGGGTCGGCTTCATGAAGCCCTACACTTGGTTTAATGCTCTTCTGTTGCTGTCTTGAAATTCTTAGTAATTTTTAAGCAAGAAGCCCAACATTTTCATATTGCACCAGGAGCCACAAATTATGTAGCCAGTCCTGCCTATGTCTCTGTATTTTTCAGTGCTCCCTGGAGAGCTTGAGATGTCTTTGCTTTTCACACAGTTGAGGCTTGAGTGATGCTTGTTGGGGGGAATGTCTGGGTTGCAGTGTTTGAAGCCCATTCCATGATGCTTGAATTAAGGGTCAAAAAATAAAAGGGGATTTATGGACAACATTATAAATACAACGAGAAAGTGGTAGTTCCATAAAAGAGTGGACAACTGTACTAATAAACTATCATGTTAGAGCAAAGTAAAGACACTTGGTAGAGATAAACGTAAATTGAAATCAACACCATGAATTCATGATCTTTTTTTTAAAAAAAGAAAACAAATACATTTTTTTCCTCCCCTGTCACTGACGTGGCTAAAATACCCAGTGTTACTCTGCTCTATTTCCACTGCTTGTGTGAAACAAGATAATGTGCCCTTAAACACTGAGATTCTGGTCTCAAATACTAATTCCCATTTTAAATAATCAGGGCTCCTTGGAGAGTAGCTGATTCTGTATTTACAGCAGAAAGACTCAAGATGGACCTGGGGTTCTTATAATCCTACTCCTTGCAAAATTCAACAATCTATTTTTGCCTTATGGATGCCTAGCAAAGAAAACAGGAAACATAGAGCTAATATGGATTATCTGCTAAAGACAAATAATCCAAATAATCCACACTCTATTAATCTCACAGTTGAGGGGGATGATCTTGATTTTAGCAAATCATCATTTGACAAAATCTCTTGATATCATTGTGAATAAAGAACTGTAGGATGGATATTGGGACAACTATATGGATTCAGGGAGTTCCTGGGTGGTGCAAATGGTTAAGTGCTGGACTACTAACCAAAAGGTTGGTGGTTCAAACCCACCTAGAGGCAACTTGGATGAAAGGCCTGGCAATCTGCTTCTGAAAGGTCACAACAGCCATGAAAATCCTACGCAGTACAATTCTACTCTGCACACCTGCAGTCACCATGAGTGACAGATTTACTAGTGGGCAGGAGGAATCCAATGGTATTGAGAACAGCCTAATTCTTGGATCTTTCTCATTCAACATTTCTGTCAACAAATAGAAGGATGACATTATAAAATTTAGAGATGATACAAAGTTACGAGGTCAGCCAATCTGCCCTACAACAAGAGACAATATTCCAGATATCTTCAGGTTGGAACAATGTGTGAACATGAATCACCTGAAACTTAATAAGAAAGACGCATAATATTGTACACTTAAAAATGAACAAACAAGTCCAGAATGAGAAACAACTAATTTTAACAAGTTTGTATAAAGAAGATCTGGGGTTATTAATTGAAAACTCGAAATGAATCAACAGTGTGATATGGATGCTTTAAAAAGAAAAAAGGAAGCTAGCTTAGGCTGTATCACTGGTGTCTAGATCCGGGGTCAGCAAACTTTTTCTGCAGAGGGTCAGATAGTACGTATTTTAGGCTTTGCAAGCTATGCAGTCCCTGTCACTATCACCCAATCCTATCATTTTCTCTGAGAAATTATGTAAAGAAATTTGAATTTCAGATCATTTTTACACATCATAAAATATTTCCCTTTTGAGTTTTAAAACCACTTCTAGCTTGTGGGCTGTACAAAAATAGGTGGCAGGCTGGATTTGGTCAGTGGGCCATAGCTTGTCAACCTTGGTCTAGATCAAAAGATGCTGTACTCTGCCCTGGTCAAATAAATACTCCTGAGTTAATGAGGGGCATTTACAAATGAAGCATTTCTCATGGGCGACAATGGTAGAGGACTGGAGACATTTACTCCAGAGAAGAGAAGACTAAGGGGAAGCACAATGGATATTGAAAAATACTGAAAGGGCTGTCAAGGCCAGAAATGATGAGAGGAAGTTACAGAGCGACAAATTTAACTTAGTGTAAGGAAGAATTTTTTTTCTTTTTTAAACAGAGCTGTCCAACAATAGAATTGGCTGCCTCTTAAGATTGTTGTTACACAATCATCTTTTGAGAATGTTGCTGAAGGGATTCCCCACAGTAGATGGGACATGGGAATAGGTGAAAAATTCAGAAATGTCATTAAGTAAATCTAACCTTCAAAAATCCTTAGGACCTCTTGATTAATATACTTCTTTATTTCTTCAAATGAAACAGCATCAACCTAGAGAGGGAAAAAGTGGTCTGTTAAACTAGGCATAGCACAAATGAAGCAAAAGAACAAAGAACAGAAATACTGGGTTGGTATGCATACGTGAAACATCTATCAAGCCAAAGGCTTTTGGGCACTGACTAGGTAATAAATATCTTGTGTTTTATTAAATGCTGGGAAGAAGATGAAGTGCATAAGTGCTTTAAAAGCTGTGGGCTGGAGTTGTAACCAGTGATATGAACATGTTTCCTATTAAATGGAGAGACATGGCTTTGTACAATTAGGGAAGATATTTCCTAGTACTTAATTTTCTGAAGTTACAGAATTTCAACAGTGTTATCAGGCCTGGTGGCGCAGTGGTTAAGCATTTGGCTGCTAGCCAAAGGGTCAGCAGTTTGAATCCACCAGCCCCTCCTTGGAAACCCTATGCGGCAGTTTTACAGAGAGTAGAAATGCCATTGTTTTGGTTAGCAGCCGAGCTCTTAACCACTGTGCCACCAGGGCTCCATTAGCATACCAGTCACAATTTAACTTCTACCCAATCCCTGGACACTGGTAAGGTTCATATCTAACTGCTATTCCAAACAAAACAAAACAAATCTATTGCTTTGAGTCAATTCTAACTCATAGTGACACTGTTGGACAGAGTGGAACTACCCCATAAGGTTTCCAAGCAGCGACTGGTGGATTCGAACTACTGACCTTTTGGTTAGCAGCAGTGCTCTTAACTATGGCACCACCAGGGCTCCTAACTTCTATTAGGTATCTTCAAAGGAAGAGAACTCCAAGTATGCTGGATTACTCTTTTAAATGTTGTATTCGTGGGGGTAAAACTTACTAAATTTTACCTGTTTCATGGTAAAGTTTATTCTGTAATCACACATTGCAAGCATATTTGTATTAAGAAATTTTCTGTTTTTAATAGAAAATGCTTGTGGACCTGGTAAAGGGAAGTAGATAAATGGTGTCAGCTGAATTTTTTTTTTAACTTTATTGCGTTTAGATGAAAGTTTATAGTGCAAATTAGGTTCTAATTCAAAAATTTATATACAAATTGTTTCGTGACATTGGTTGCAATCCCCTCAATGTGTCAGCACTCTCCCCCTTTCCACCCTGGGCTTCCCATGTCCATTCGTCCAGTTTTCTTGTCCCTCCCTGCCTGCTCATCTTTGCTTCTGGGCAGGTGTTGCCCATTTGGTCTCATTTACTTGATTGAACTAAGAAGCATGTTCCTCACACGTATTAGTGTTTGTTTTATAGGCCTGTCTAATCTTTAGCTGAAAGGTGGAATTCAGGAGTGGCTTAGATTCTGGGTTAGCAGGGTGTCCGGGGGCCATAGTCTTGGGGGTTCCTTCAGCCTCTATTAGACTCAGTTGAATTTTTTTAAACCTCTTGACAGATCTATCTACATGCATTTGACAAAGAATCTAGCATTTATAATAAACATTTTACTATAGTACCTTGATATTTTTAAAAGCTAGCTATCAATTTTCACAATGTTTAGGATTTGTAAGTATTTTATTACTTTTCTTTGCATATGGTTATTATCTGCAGGTCTAAGTGGGGCATGAAAGACAATATGATGATTTTCTTAGGACAAAACAGTTCCAAGAAGTACCAATTTTATTATTTATTTTCCCTGCGTGTGGTACAAATTGGAGCCCTGGTGGTGCAGTGGTTAAGAGCTATGGCTGCTGACCACAAGGTCAGCAGTTCGAATCCACCAGCCACTCCTTGGAAACCCTATGAGGCAGTTCTACTTATACGGTCGCTATGGGTCAGAAGTGACTCGACGGCAATGGTTCTTTTTTTTTTTTTATGGTACAAATGAACTTGAATTCATGTTCATAACATCAGGCAGGGAAACCAGTTACTGACACACACTGAGAGTTCAAGTTATGTAGACTTTATTCAGTAGAACTTAGGTAGCGCGGCAAAAATAAAAAAGTATGGAAATGGCGGGAATGCCTAATTTGGCCCTATATCTGACATTGGCCAGTTATCTGAGGAAAGAATCTCATGTAATAATATTTTCCCCTAACTCCCCTGCCCCCTCCATGGGTATTTTCAGATTAAGTTCCTCTGCTGAATGGCCACCCATCACTCTTCTGGAGGACATTAACAAAAACACTGGCTTCCTCAACCAAATACTCTTTCTTGTCCTAACTGGTTTCCACTTGAAAGCACTACTGAGGGCAGATTTGCAGTTCTGATAGTCAACAAAATGGAGTATCAATAGGAAACAGGTGTGTGTGTTTTCTGTGTCATGTAAGGAGACGTTATTGATAGTGTTTGAGGGCATCGTTTTGGAGTCAGCCAGACCTGGGTACAAACCAGTTAATAACTCTGTGACCTTGGACAAGTCAATCTCAGTTTCTGCATTTATAAAAGTGAGATGGAAAGAACATCTATCTCCCCAGACTAGCTGTGAGGATCAAATGAAGTAATGTATGGTAAGTGCTTAGCACAGGTTCCGGCACATAACTTTAAATAAATGATTATCTATTGTTACCCTCACGGAGACCAATTTAAGTTCATTTTATTTACTTAAAAATCGTTATGATTACTTTCATTGTAAAACTGATACATGGTTGCTTTAAGCCAGGATCTCCTGGGACTCTCAGTACCACTTACCGAAGTGCCAGGGATGCCTGGAGAGCCTGGAGGGCCTTGGTGGCCGGGGGATCCTGTGGAGCCCTTGTTTCCTGGTGGCCCCACAGGACCTATGGCTCCCTTCATGCCTGGAAGGCCTGGTTTTCCCCGTTCACCTTGTGGGCCTCTGTCTCCTGGAATTCCTTGATCACCCTGTTAAGGAAAATAATGATAATAAGGAATGATCTCTTCTAGAACCACATCAGTTGTGGTTAAGAGCAAAGGTTCTGGATTCAGACTGGCACTTAATAGCCATGGGACCTTGGATAAGTTACTTAAACTTTCTGTGTCTAGGCTTCCTCACCTATAAAGTGAAGATATTAATAGTATCCACTCTGTAGGGTGATGTTGAGAAGTAAATGAGTTAACCTGAGAACCTGAGTTCAAATCCTGGCTTTGTCACTTATTAGTTCCATTGACCTTGCACAGTTTACCTAACTTCAATAACAGTAGCTTCTTCACTTATAAGTGAGGATAATAATAACAATGGCCTCAAAGCTAAGGATTAAATGAAATAACATGTAAAATGCACTGTTGCTGCTGTTAGGTGCCACTGAGTCAGTTCTGACTCATAGTGACACTATGTACAACAGAACGAAACACTGCCCAGT